AACCATTTTGATTCAGAAAAAACTAAATAACTGAACTTAACGTTTCAGTTAATTTCATTTTGATATTATAATTAGTTGAATCAAAATATTAAACTTAAGCCATAAAACTTATTGTGTATTAACTGTTGAAATTCACCCTAAGCTTAACTGCATAATTTGGGCTTTAGGCAGTGCTGTAATTTTGAGTACTTTTCTTTTTTACCACATCATAGAAGGTAACCATTTGGTCCCTATTTCACATACATTTTATTATTAAAATATGAATATTACCTTTAAACAGTTTTCATTTTCAAATTTCAGGAAGTTTAATAAATTCCTACAATTTAGACCCCCAGTATGTCTCTCAGCTTATAACACTAAACATTTGGTTTCCCAACCCATGGTGGGCACAGCACAGATAACCCATTGTGTAACTTTATGTTTAACAACAAACAAACCTACAATTTAGCAAATGACAAGTGTTACAGTTTGCCACAGAAATTTCCAGTGTTAATTTTTCACCATCAGCAGAGATTCCAACTCTGAATAACAAATGAATCTTTAAGCTCGTGGCTAAGAAGGTAATTCCTTGAATTTTTGTTCTAGCGAGTTGTAGCATTCATTAAGATACATTCTGTTAAATTTCTGTAAAATGTTTTCTAGTTACTAAAGCTCAGCTGTATTGTGGCTAGCAGCATGCATTAAGACAGACTTGAATTTATAAAAATGTTGTAGCATTCATTAAGATACATTTTGTTGAATTTGTGTAAAATCGTTTGTTACAGTGACTGAAGATGTAGCTATATTGTTACTAGTAGCATGCATTAAGACAGATTTATAAATAAATCTAGATTAAAAAATTACTCATTTTAACACTTAAAACAAAGAGTAAAAGAATGTGACTGTCATGTTCATGTAAGGAAAATAGTTATTATTTTTTCAAAATATTTCTTGTTGAGTCTATTACAACTACTCATTATAGCCGTCATACATGTATACTGAACTAAAACATTTAAAGAAGTTAAAGTAGCTTAGAAAGTGAAAATCTGTACTCTGGATTTGTTTATCATCTGTGATATATCTAACATTATAGAGAATGATGATATCTTGAAGAGTTTGTAGTCACTGGATTAGTTAATTAGTTACTACAGCTATTTACTAATAAAGATGTCCATTTTAGGGATATAGTTAAATCGATCCTGTGCAGTTTTGTAGGAAGGCTTGACATTGTGCATATTGATGTGGACCTGAACTGAAGAGTCATTTGTAATACATAGAAGAGTTTAGTATTATTAAAGAATTTTATATGGTGTATTAGTAACTTTCATGAAATGTTTAACAGGGGTTTGATTTTATTCATTATTTTGAAACAAGATTTGGATGTAAATTTTGTATGTGTGCAGGATGTGTCAGAATTTACTAGAATATTGTTCAATTACCACCAGACATACTTACTAGAGTTCATGTATATTGTAGCCTGGGCTGGAAGATTTAAACACCACCGAATGTACAGGGGCATCAAAGTTTTACTAGCAAATGTTTTGAAGTGAGTTGAACAGAATTTATGGAATTCCTGTAAGGAGCAACTTTTAAAGTTCCACAGTTGTAGTCTGCTTGTTCCACATTTCAATCTTCCAGGTTCAGAGTACTAAATACACTTTTAAATGTTAGTTATCAGGTTAAAAACAAAGTGTGATAACATTGATATGATTGTCATGAAGAAATAAAAAAATACAACATTTAATTTCAATATCCTTATATTTTCATATTTCTTGGTCAATGATTAATAATGGCTGGAGACGGCGTGAGTGGGTAATGAAGAAAAACTTTAATATAAGT